CCTCAAAGAGCACACAGTACTGCATATGTACTTGGGTACTGAAACAGTACTCAAAGCCCTTAGAAAAGAACTTCCCAGGGCTGGGCTTGTGTGCTGAGGGCCTTAAAACCTTCTAGAAGCTTCTAGAAGCTCTCTATTGTTACATCCCATTTCTACCAGCAGGTCAGCAAGGGATGGCTGAGCAGCTTTGCACCAAGAACTGCTGGGCTTTGGACCTGGCCAGCAGGCAGGAACCCAAGTGGTTTTCACCATGGCTTCAGTCACTCACACATAGCAATTTCCCTGAGGTAAACAAACAAACGAACAAACAAAACAGCGGTTTGTTCCGATGTAAACAGAGGTGTTAGATTTAACAAAAAGATGAGGAAGCCACTCAATAAGAAGAAATTGCTCTTCTAAAATGGGGACTGGTGGTTTTCAACTGCAGGGCTTCCTGAACATAGGCAGGGCTCCTAGGATCTTGTGACTGCAGGGTTTTGAAGGTTTTGAAGGAGGTTATATTAATTTCACAGCGACAGGTAAAGGATTATTTTTCATTATTATTTCTATTATGATTACTATTACTGTTATTATTGTGTGTGCACTCCAGCACATGTGTTGGAGTCAGGAGATGGCGTTCTGGTGTTCTCTTCCCACGGTGGTTCCAGGGGTTTGAACCCAGGTCAGCAGGCTTGCACAGCAGGGCCCTCTCTACTCCATGTGATGTTTCTGAGCGGCGGACGATGGGCAGGTGGTGATAACCAGCTGGAGCGCTGTCTGTACGGCAGTCCCGCCTGCCCCTCCTTGCAGTCCTGTGCGAGCCCCCACTGCCTCGCAGCCCCGGCTCCCCTCTGGGACACACGGCCACTTTAGAGGAATATTAGCAGATGTCATTTGCTGTTTGTCATTGCTGTTCAGCTTGCAGGCTGCTCTGGCCAGATTTGAAATTGCTTTCGGGTCTTCTGATATAGGACATTGCTGTTGTCACAGACTTTAGGGAACATGGCCATGAGCAGTCACCCCGTCAATCATTAGCAACGAGAAACCACTTATCAGCAGGGCAGAGAAGTGGAGATGTTGCTTCTTGGGATGAGTAAAATTTACCGATTTCAGGGTTTCCTTGGGGGGGGGGGTTAAGACAGGGATTTAAAAAAAAATATCTCTCTTTTCTAGAGAGTTCCTAAAAGTACTCTGACAGAAGCCAACTGTGTATGTAGTTTTCCTAGAGTTGAAGAAAACGTCCGTTTCAGGCTGGTGGCATTTTTTTTTTTTTTTTAATTCCTTGATAGAAGCCCGGGCTTGGCGTGGTGACTCTCCAGGTTTTGGGGCTATTTGGCTGAGGACTTGAGGTCAGCCTTAGGATCTGACATTGCTGTTGGGACAAGCCAGGGGCCCACCTGAGAGGCCAGACTCTATTTCCCCTCATCTATGACTCCTTGAGCATAAAAACAGAGCAGCAGGGAAAGACGCCCTCTTTGTCCGTCTTACTTGTTTTTAGACCCTCTGACCCCCAGGTGCTGATTTGGTCGAATTAGAAATCAAGTAAAGACACACCTCAAAAGGACAGAGTTTGCTCCTCTCGGGGGTCTGACACCCAAACACTCATGTTGCAATTGATTTAACTCCCACTGATGTAGCCTTGGCTCTCTTCCTACCTAGAGGGGCTGTATGTATAAAAAGTGTCCTCTTCCCTCAGGAGGCGCTCCCCTGGGACTAGTCAGTGTCTGCTGCACTGGGGGCCACCGAGGAAAGCAGCAGGTGCGGACGGTTAGGTGCAGAAATCCCGGAAGTCTGCATCAGGAAAAGAATCTTTCCTTCCGGCCAGCCTTTCTCAATGTGCTCGGAAAGCGCCTCCTCTGACCTTGTCCCTGCTGCGGTCTGAAAGTCCCCAGGTCATCCCCATCCACAAGGAGAGGAGCACTCACATGCACCGCCCAGAAGAACTGGCTCCTCTCCTTCTTCAGGAAGAGACTGGGGAGAAACAGAGGTTTCTAGAGGACAAAACCACCAGCCATAGAGGCCAGATGTGAGCCTACGCTTTCCATTCCCAGAGCCTAACTATGCCAACCCTGGTAAGTGGGACTTTGGGTCCCGGAGCTGAGTGTGGGTGAACTTGCATATTCCCCTCACTGCGGGCAAAAGGGGCCGTGGCAGGAGGCTTCAGGGCCTGGTACTGCTGAGCTGGATCTGCAGCTGGGCACACCGTCAGCCAGCCTGCCGTTTCTTCCTAGGACCGCTGTCTCCTGGATTAACCTCAACAGGCTGCTAGGGCAACAGCTGGCTGCCGTTACAGAGACTTACTGTCTTGTCATGTGGTCTAGGCAGGCCTTGAACTTGCCATAGAGTCCAGGCTGCCCTCAAACTCATAATCCCTTGTAGCAGGAATCTTAAAGAGTCTTATTAATAAAATAAATCTGAGCCAGGTATTGGGGTGAACTGGAAGATCAGAGAACCAGAACAAGCCACAGCTAACCTCACCTGGCCAACTTCTCAGCTGGTCTTGTTTCCTCAGACTGGATGCTTCTGAGTCCTCATCCAGAATGGGTCTCAGCTAAATTGCTGCTCAAAAGCCTGAAGCTTAACCAGCTAAAAGCTTAACCAGCCAAATGCTTCTAGTTTCTGGTCCTCACGCCTTATATACCTTTCTACTTTCTACCACCACTCCCTGGGATTAAAGCCTTGCTTTCTGGGATTAAAGGCGTGATGAGTCACCATGCCTGTCTGTATCCTTGAACACATGGATTTCTGCCTCTGGAATGCTAGGATTAAAGGCGTGTGCTACCACTGCCTATCCTTTATGTTTAATATTGTGGCTGCTCTGTCTCTGACCCCAGATAAGTTTATTAGCATGTACAGTATTTGGGGGAATACAATACCACAATCCCTCAGCCCCCTGAATAATGGAATTATAGGCATTTGCCACCACATCCCCTAGCTGCCTTGGTGAGGATTATCAATCCGGGTGGCTAGTAAGTAAAAATTATCCAATTATTTTTAAATGCCTTCCAGCATTCTGGGTGCAAGTCCCCAGCCCCCACAGACCCGAGATTCTGAGTGGCAGCTTCAATATGTCCATATGCTATTCATTATTCAGACTTCTTCTCTGATCGTGGCCTCCCTGAACTTTAAACTAGAACAGTCCGTGGCCTTGAGTGCCAGCAATCCTGTGAGGAGTCTAAGTCAGGTGTCCTACTCCTGATTTTAATGCTGCAGGCCGGGCTTGGCCTCAGCCTCAGCATGTGGCATGTGGAGTGTCACCTGGTCCAGGGCTTGGCCCTATCCGTCCCTGCCAGAAGGTTAAGAACTGGCTGTCAGGCAGTGGGTTGCTGTCCTGGCTCAGAGGGGGCTGCTGTGTGGAACCACACTTCAGACAGGGAAGTGCATGGTTCAGGGTTTAACAGCTGGTACAGAGAGCCTCGAGAGATTCCAGTCCAATCTGCATTTAGGTCTATTCATAGCTTGGGCCGTTTCCTATTGTAAATCATGCAAATCTGCTGCAAAACGGAGTATTTGCCACCAACAGGCTTTGAAGGGGTGCGGGTGATGAGTGAAGTGCTGTGTGTGCAGTGTGAGAGCCGGGAGTCCTTGGAAGCATTGTGTTGATGTAGGAGACATTTTCAGAGCGTCTTTGCAGCCGAGCATCCCGGTGCCCTCCCTGAGGATCCCGGTCTTGCAAATGCTTGCAGGCGTCCTCCAAGGCTAACAGGGGAGATGAAGAGGCCCAGGAGAGGCCGGGCATTCCTCCTGCTGCCCTCAACTTGGGCGGCCTCCTCCCCATGGCAGCGGCCAGCAGCGGCTTGGCACATGCCCCTTCCTCGCCTCGAGACCCTGCTCTCCACTTCACAAGCGGAATCGAGAAGGCCAATTTAATTGAATTGATTGCCACTTCCAAAGCTGCGGCTACTCCTCCGAGAGGCCTATTTAAAGTTTCTGAACTACAGAGAGATAACAAAATAAAACGCAATAGTGTAAGGCAATGGATGATTATCAAATTGCTCTGGGAGCCTTCAGAGTGAGAAAGATATAAAAGGAAGATTGAAAGGTATTAGTCTATAAGTCTCACTGAGGTCACAAGGCTAGAGTCTTTCACAAAAGACTTCAGAAACAAAACTTTAGAAAACACACACACACACACACACACACACACACACACACACACACACACACAGAAGTCATATCAGATAACTGTGAGTTCTTATCTTCGATTACACTAAGACCATTAGCCTATTTTAAATTCCTGTGGCACAGTAAAGAGTCTTACATACTTACAAGATTTTTTTTTTTTAATGCATGAGCTTTAAACTCGTTTTCTGACTTTAAATAGATGTATATTAACTCTCTGTTTAGTCTCCAGGACCTCCTAGCCTAGTATAACAGTTCAACCCAAATAAGAGTGGATACAAACTCTGTAATTTACTCACAGGCATAAATGGATATATAAATGTAAAAATGTGCACAATATTTTATGCCATGCTTGGCTTCATTGTGACCTAATATTTATAATATGTAAATAATGGCTTCCTTTTAAAGCAAAGAACTTTTAATACACAGATTCATCTGGAAGTCCTTTTTTCTTTGATATAAACAGAAATAAAAAGAAAAAAGTATTCTCATGCTACAAATAAATACCCCACGGCAAAGGTTACCACTGAAGGGATTTTAAATGACAGAAGTCAACAGAAAAATTTCAATATCATAATTCTACTTTAATATGAAGATATTGTTATCAAAGGGAAAGACTCCAGAAATTCTTTGATAAAAATCATCTCACACTATCTTTGAAGCAGTTTCATTTAATTTTACTACCCACAGTGTTCCTTATCGGAAGGCCAAGGGTAAGAAGTTTCCTAGTTATGATTAGGAAGGAATCTGGTAGATCAGAAGACCCAATTGAAGTTGGACATAATAAGTATTAAAGTATTACATGACATTAATCCTGCCATTCCATTCCTCTCCCCATCTTTGTGCACAGACTAATTATTCTGTAGCCAGTATGCAGGAGAAAATAGAAACATACTTACTGTGGGCTGGAGTAATCTCTTTATTGCATCAACAAGGCTGACTCTGTACTGGTCCAGAAACAGGCTGACATTGAGAAGAGAGCAGAATCCAGATTAAACTGGGCCTCCAAGCTTAATGATACCAACAGTGATAAGCACAAGGCTAATTACACATTTTATACAACACTAAAGAAAGATTGCTCCTTTCCATTCAAGGGTCTTGCTGGGGGAAATTTTAAAAGGAGATACTGGGAACAGAGTCATCCAATGAATGTCAAGCTGTCAACGTCAGGGTTCATACCTGACTCTGCTGTGTGAATGTCACAGGGACAGGCCCCAAGATGTTCTTTTCATGAGTGTCGTCTGGTGGAGACGGAACACTTGGTATACTTTCCCTTGTTAAAGCCCTGTTTCCAGTAGACCTGGACCCTCTACCCACCAGGACCACCGTGAGGCTGCATTCTGAAAGCAGACCACCAGTCCCGTGTACCCAAACCACCGTGGCAATGTTGGGGGTGAAGCAGGGTGGACCGTTGTGATTTCCAACAGTTCGAAGGTAAGACCCAAGTAACGACCCAGTAGCCAACAACCTCCAAAGTGAAGCTCAGGCGGTGTGAGAGGATGTAGTAACTCGAGGTTTTCTTCCCTCGACCTCCACATTGGTCCTTTCCTACTCACTGGGATTTCTCTTTTGCTCCTTGGATCTTGCGAGTATTTCTGTGTGGGGTTTCATCTTGTCATCTCTAGGGTTGAGTTATGTTGACCCTATTTGCACACCATACCTTCTCTGACAAGTTTGTCACACAGCTTCTTCATCTGAACAGAGGCATCCAAGACTCAAGTTTGGGTCACCTAGCAGTTGGTGGCAAGTTGACTTACACAGTTCTATGTTCGAAGGCAACCCTTTACATGCCCGGGCTGCAGACCTGACCTAGGATGTGACTGGGTGGGCGCTACTTTGTTCTTCTGCCGTAGAAGATACAGGGTCCCTCCCTGCTAGAAGACTCAACAAAATTAGGCTCTCCTCCGACCCCAAACCTGCCAGCACTTTTTTTTAATTCATTCTGAAGAGGGCGCTAGATCTCATTTCAGATGGTTGTGAGCCACCATGTGGTTGCTGGGAATTGAACTCAGGACCTCTGGAAGAGCAGTCAGTGCTCTTAACCGCTGAGCCATCTCTCCAGCCCCACCTGCCAGCACTTTGATCTTGGATTTCCTAGAGTCTAAAGCCGTGAGCCATATATTTCTGTTCTTTACAAATTGTTCGGTCTGTGTATTCCCTTTAACAACATAGACTGCACCGACACACCTGAGTGCTTATGAGGAGGGTTCCCTTGGGGCTCTGGTATGGAGGTGTGGAGCACCCAGTGTGAGAGACACAAGAACAGAGTTCCCTGTCACACACTGAGTGATCCTCGTCACACAGCTAACGCACTCTGCCAAGACGAAGCCTCTGGACCGACTGTGTCACCACTCCCGATTGGTGGGAGGAGGGCACTTCTTTCTGAACTCCATATTAGGATCTCTGAACAGTTCTGGCATGCCTGGGATGCCTTTTGGGTACCAATGGGTACTGCCTGTTGGTAGGAGGGCTGCTGTCCTCCCTCAGATAACCGGGCTCATGAAGGCTTTGACCTTTCTATGTGACCTTGGGTAACTCACTTCACAGAAGACCTCAGTTTTCTTGTCAATAAAAACCCACCTGTGGGGCTGTGGTGGACATCAAATTAACATGTTAATTCATAATTGTATACTTACAACCTACAAGGGGTGATAGGCATTGGGGCTAAGCTCCACTCCTAAGGAACTTTCATTCAGCTTCCATTTCTGCTTCATGGCTCGGAGCATGCGCACACGGTATTCTGTTTCTTTACTGCCTGAGGCAGCTCATTGTGGTCCTTGAAATGGAGGACGTTTACATCCAACGTGCATCTCAGTGACCCTAAAGAGCTCGCTCACAGGCCTTGCCCAGTGTTGTCGGGCTGGGCCGATATTTAGGTAAGATGTTTGCCCACACGGGTGCTCTCCAACTTGATGAGTCGAATTTTGAGAAGGGGGAGCGTGAGTTGGGCAGGGTGGTCCATTCCTGTCATCTTAGCCCTTGGGAGGCTGAGGTCAAAGGACTATCATGAGACCAGTCTGGCCTACCCTGTCCGAAGGAAGGAGGGGGTCCAAGAGGAGAGGAAGGAGGAAGGGAGACCGATGGCTTGATTCTGAAGTAGTCAACACTGAGGGCTGGGCCCAGGGCCTCACACCTGCTAGGCAGGCACTAAGCCTATCTCCCCTTCTAAAAAGGTGCTTTGAGCAATGGAAACAAGACCCTCTTCTGACGAGCTACTGACTACGCATAAACCTCATTTCCACCTAGCAACTAGGATAACCTAGGAAAAGCATTATCTTTCACGAAGTTGCATCCTTAAATTTAGAGCAAAGAATACGTTTAATTTAAATGCTACAAAGATGTCCCACTCAGTCAAGTTAAGCAGTGATTCAAAATCATTAAAGATTGATGAGGAACACACCAGGTTGGAACGACGTCTTTTACAAATCGTGTTTTTCAGGACACTCCATCTCATTCTTTAGGGATGTTAGATAGTATTTGCAGTTTGATATTGTTGATATATTGACTGTGGTGGTCATGTGAGCCTACAAGAGACCTCTGGCTGGCTGGATCCGTAGAAGCTAAGCAAAGGACTCTTCTCGGTTTATTTCAGCATTTTCTAAGAGCCTCAGCAGCTCTTAGAAAGAGACGGAGAGCAAGCACATTGTTGCTGGGCCTCCAGCATGCCCTCACAGAACGCTCTTTCCCCTGTGCGTGGGTAATGGCGACAAAGAGGTTAACATCACCGTAAACTGCAAAGTGCAGCTTAACACCTGGAACACATTCCAAACACAGTCATTTCCAAGGTAATGGCACCTACCCCATCGTTCCAAATCAAATTTCCCAAAAGTAATTCTTGTCGTCCTCTAAAAAGATCTTTATTCCAAGCAAGCTCACTTTTCTACTTAGCTTCGATGCAGAATTCATAACGCTTTGTAGGGTACGTCGTATGAGCAATTTCAATGTGCTTTAGTGGGAGTGATATGTAATCTCCTGAAAATTCACCCCTTAAATAAGTCCTAATGGCTCGGAGAACAGCAGTAGCTTAAGTGGATCTATTTAAAAAGGCTGAGTGGGTCAGTGATTGGGATGGAGATACCTTTCAACTCTCCCTTTAGTTAGGGATCAAAATACCTTGACAGTCCAGTTTGGCCATTAAAACACACACTCTCCCACACGCGTACAACTCCAGGTCATTGCCCACGGCAGCAACAATTGCTTTGTTCCACTGATCCGAATCAGATTTTCTGACAAAGGAAAGGTGTTGAATCCTCGTGACCTCTTTAAGAATCTGCTTGTCTGCAGAGCTAGCTAGGAGCGCCTGTCATTCTTCTCCTGGAGGAAGTCATTCATTCCTCCAGAGCATCAGGAGATGGCTCTTTCTTGTCAATAGGCACAGAACGGAAAAACCCCTGGGCAGTCTTCCTGGTGGGATTCGCTGTTTTAGATTTCACTTTCAACAGAGGGACGGTCTCTGTCTGCATTCCCGAACCTGTGTTGGAGGCAGCGCCCTGTGATGTTCGACCCTCACTTGGCTTTGCCCCTTCAAGTTGTGAGATTCTGGGCTCTTTGGGGATTTTCACAGAGGCTGAGTCCTCCCAGGTGGAGTGAAAGGGCTGATTACACTGGAGCTAAAGGCCTTTTCAGGGGCCAGGGACTGTGAGATGTGATTAGGCTGGCCATCATCACCGTAGCTGGAAGACAAGGGACCTTTCAAAGCCTATGGCATTTCCATTTTGAGGGAGGGGGAAAAAAAACTTTTTCATAAAAACAACTTAAAAGCCAAACAGTTTTTTTTTTTTTCATCATTTAGAAGAAAGCGTAAAAGAAATGGGAAAGGAACAACCTATAGAGTATGCAATCAGTGTGAAGCTGCTGAAGGAGCAGGCAAGTGGCCTGTGCAGGGAGGGAAGCGGTCCATGTACTAGCCCCTGCTCCTCTCCCAAGCCCTCAGCTTCAGACTCATAGATGTACTGACTGTCCTAGGCATCCCGTTCCACGGGTCAGGCAGCGGATGGCCTTTCAGACATGCTTTCTAAGCCTTGTGAGATTAAAATGCACCAAGTCATTTCTGTATTTGCGGAACTACAATAAACTGGAGAGCCATCAAATGGTAAGATAAATGGAAGCATTCGTTGGATGGGAGAAAAGAAAACCTTACTTCCAGACTCTCAGATTATGAGTGTGATTGAACCAGAGTCCGCAAAGGCGGGAAAGAATTAGCAAGGCTTGCTCTTCATAACGCGGCGGGGACGGGCCATACGGCATTCCTGCAGAAAGGAATGCTTCTATTAAACTCAATACTGAGTAAATCAATGGAAGCACTTAATAGGCAGGTTTTTTCCTCCCTATCCCTGTGGTTAAATATTCTAATATTTTGATGTTTGTCAACAGCCCTCCACTTTTTTATAGGTGTGACTGTACCTCCATGTTTCTTTCTGTTTATTTCAAAGTTGACATTTTACAAGTTCTTTAGGAACTATTGAACCATGAAACGATTTTCCATTGTCAAAAATGCTGAATGGCGAAATAATGACTAGCTTTCACAGTTTGCTCTTTATTTTATCATCTAGTTGAGTGACTAAATTTGGATCTGGAGTAAGGGATGGACTGTCTCTTGTGGGAAATGAGTCATCCCCCCCCTCCACACACACACACCATACACACACACACACACACACACACACACACACACACACACACACACACACTACCCACACAGGTTTATGAACATTTGAACATAAATATAGGAATACATGAATGATTTAAGAACATAAACATATCACCACTTGCCATAATCGTGTGCATTTTTACTGGAACCACAATGCGGGTTTGGGCTAGGTGAGCAAATGGAGCTTGTTTTCATGCAAATGGGATCAAGAAGTACTACGGGGTTAGCCAGTCAACGAATCAGACAAGGCCGCCCTTGCGGGAAATGCTTCTGTAAGAATTTAAATTCATGTACCTAATACCCAGACTTCAACTTGTGCCGCACAGGGCCCGCTCCAGAGCTCACTCACTGACAACGACAAAGAGTGGCGGGGGATTGAACGTGAGCTCTTTAAACGTGGCCCCTCTTGCTCGCATTGACTATTTCGGGTTTCATCATGGAGGCGGCATCTACAGGCAGCCTGCTTTCACTGCTCTGTAGCACCCTAGATAATTCAGCATGGTCTGCCTGCCCCATAGAAGCAGCATCCATGCAGTAACTCCCAAGGAGCGACACCCAGCCAACTGGCTGTGAGGGCTGCGTGGAACCCCACACTTGACCACCAGATGTACATCAGCGTGGATATTACACATCACCGTACTTTCAAAGTTTCTAAGCCGCTTAGCCATCTCCGTGAATATGAAGAGAGACCATTACCAAAGCATTTCTTTTGGAAATAATATCAGCATCACCGTAAAGAGTAGCTTAATGTTTTACATTTACAAATGGGAAATTACAGACAGGCTGACATTCGGGCACTTATAACACCAGGGGGAAAAAAACCTTAACCATCGATTCATGCATAGAAAAGCCATTTATAAAATGAAGCCTCGGGTATTTAGTTCATTTGAATCCATAAATAATTCTTACATAGCCACCAGATGTGTGTGTATAAGATTGCATTGTGTTATGTATCTGTAATGAAAGCCTTAAGCTGAATATGCACCGTGTTTATCAATTCTCTAAGACTCTGTTGTCGGCTAGGAGGGGACAAAAAGACTATTTTTCAAACACGTTGTGCAGCTATTTTTAACCTAACTGAGAACATTATTCAGAAAGAGCTTAACTCTTATTTCCTCTGCTAGTTTCTCTGGTACAAATAGGATGACACGGTGTGAGTGTCCGAGACACAGGCATGGCAAAGCTAGGCCGTGCTGATATTTGTGCGAAGGACAATTTAACTGTAAATCTCTTGGCCATTCCTGCCTCTCCCACATCATCAGAGTGCATCCGGTGTGACCCTCATCTGAACCTTCAAGAAGACACTGTTCCTGTCAGTCTTGCTGCCTAATCTCTCCTGCTTAATCTTATCTAATCCTGCCCGAATTATCTTCATCTGTAAAATGAAACCTGGAGGATCCTTTCTCATGTTCGGTGAGGAAAGGCATTTACTAAATTACTTGGTCAACCACGTGGCTTGGTTTGAGCTCCTTTTTGATTCGATGGGGGAGCGCAGCATGGAGGCATGTTGTCACTGGTCAGCCGGAAATCTAGGCTTCTCCCGGATTTGGAAAAAGGGGTGTAGCAGTTAGTGCAAGGAGACCAAAATGGCCCTGGAAAACTGGGAATTCTTAGCTAAAAGCAGGACAAAATATTTACTGTTTAAATATTTAAGTAAAACAAGAAAAGAATAGTAATAGGAGAAAGAGGAGAGGGAATTAAAAAGTCATTTAAGGGTGGTGGTGCACGCCTTTGATCCCAGCACTCTGGAGGCAGAGGCAAGCGGATCTCTCTGAGTTCGAGGCTAACCTGGTCTACAGAGAAAGTTCCAGGACAGCCAGGGCTACACACACATAGAAACTCTGTCTCAAAAAAAAAAAAAAAAAAAAAAAACCAACAAAACAAACCCTAATCTCACTGACTTAGTGGGAAAGCTGGACACTAGAACTTGTGTTTAAATAGTGATAAAGTCACTTCCTGAAAAATGTGTCTGCCTTCCTCTGGCTGAGATCCACTCAGGATTCTGGGTTTTAGGATTGGGCTCATCAGTGTAACAGCAAGTCCGAATCTGAATTCACTGTTTTCAAATCTAACGGAATCATGATCATGCGGAAACTCCAAGTAAGACCTTACCCTGAACAGGGAGAACATTGCTTATGGCCCACCCATGTTTTCCATACGCAGAAATAACTACCCAGGCTGAATGAAGAAAGGCACAAAATCAGCTGAAATAATTACGAAGGTCTATGCATATGTATCCTGCAACCTGGGTTCAGGCTCCCATTAACAAATAAGCAGATTGGGCTAAGGTGGAAGACAGAGTGTCTAGGGTAAATTTATTTAAAAAGATTAGACACCTGACAAATTTGGATGTTATTTGCATAAGAATAAAATGTGATTGTGTAATCTTGGTGTTCTGTATAACTAAGAATCAGCTCCGAAAACATCAGATATCAAATACACTTTAAGAAAGGCTATTTCCCACAAGATATTTCACAGATATGTTTATTTACCAAAGAGTCTGTATGTGTGTACACATGTATATCCCTTATATCAGATCTCTCCCAAGAAGGAAGCTAATTGAGCTGTTTGTGTTGATAAACTCCTTTTTCTCCAGACTGTTCCTCTCCGAGCCATAATTATTTGCAATTTGCCTAAGTCGTCCATTTACTGATACGTCAAGCATGAAACAGAGGCAATTCCAGAAAATGGAAATGCTTCTGAAAATCAATCTTTGGGAAATAATGTGGTAGAAGTTACTGTGTGATAGAAGACTACCTCCTAACTGTCACATGGAGATGAATATTAATTTGTTGAGGTTAAGGTGGCTTTGTGCTTCATTTGTTGACTTTCCTTAGCCATCAGCAAAGCCGCGCAGCCCAATTACTCCAGAGAAGCTATTTTTTTCCCCCTAACAGGAGTTTTATGATTTTTATGTACTTACCAGTCAGCGCACATAACAATGTCAAAATGTCCTTCCAGTTGAGAGACATCTGTCTCATTATCCCATCGTAAAACGCTTGAGGAGAAAAAGATTTTAAAAATTATACTTAGGGCTTTTTTTTTTAACTTTTGATTTTGCGCTATTAACATTATTTTTTGTGGCACATGGAATTATATAAAAGGTATATACAAATTATTTCAAAAGATATAATAAAAAAATACCTAGGATGTAACTGTCTTCTGTATTTTTTTTGTCTTTAATTGTAGAAGAGGACGAATTCTCTACTGAAACAGGAGAGTTGAGTTTTTGCTAGGTTTTATAGGTTTTTGTAGACAAAGTAGACCCTTACCTCAGTCGTTAGAATATGATTCCTGACCCTTCCCAACAACGAGGAAAAAACTGAAATCAAAACATTCTCCATCCAACTGGAATATGAACTTATAGAGAAATATGAATTTAGAAAAAGAAGTCACGTGAAATTTTCTGTAGACCCCTCTTGCCTGCCATGCCAGACACATTTGTTATTGACAAAACAAACAATGTGGCAAGATGGAAGGAAAGAACAGGTCACTTCTTTGTGGAAGTTCTCAGGCTGCTAAGCACACTTTCTCTACCCACAGGCGCCCCAAAGGAGGCGCGGGTGTTAAACCTCACACTAATAACAACGGTTAATAGCAGGCATTGGAAAACTTGAGCAACACTTATGAAGCCAACCAGGGGCTCTATATTCCCCTCAGATGATAGCTGTGATGATTAACGGTTTATTATAATCAATATTTTTAAGGATGTTTTCCCACACACACACCAAAAGTGTTATTTGCAGTACTATTTTTTTTAAAGTAAAATCCTGCGGCTATTTCTTACTTTGATTCCTTTGAGATGGACTGAGGGGTCATACCTTACCTCGCCAATTGTATTTGCTTATTTGGGTGGGGTTTGCATTTCTTCTGTATTTCCAAAGACAAAGTCATGTTTGAGTGCAAAAATGAGCCTTAACCCTGGTGGGTCCAAATATCCTTCTCATACACTTTGATAGACATAAATGGTAGTGACATTCTTAAGGAAGAGACGACTATACATATCACCTCATCACCAAGGAGGCCGAAGGCCAGTTGGCCACTCATTTTTTTTTAATTCACACTTATTGAGCATCTACTGTATACTGTGTGTCCGGACCTGTCTATGCATTAGCCTTGCCATCACAGAGGCTGCCTGGAGAGCCATCCAGACACACCAGGGAAGGCTTTTGAGGAAAAGGATGCCTCAAGCGAGCGACATGGGGACAAGCTTTAGCTCATATTATTCTACTTCCTAGGCCCACAGGAGAGCCAAGTGACAAAGGAGCCCAGCAAGTCCCTAAAAATAAAAAGGCTCACATTGTTTTTGGTACCTGGCAACACCAGCTTTTCCTGGACTTGGACATGGAGGAGGGTAAAAGCCTTCTCAGCCAATATCAGAAACTGGAGAGTTCTCAAGAGTTTATAAGTTTATATATAAACAAGATGGTTTAACACAGTAGTGTGCATGTAATCCCAGCATTTAGTAGGCAGAGGGAGGAGGATTGTGAGTTTGAAGCTAACCTGGGCTATATAGCAAGGCTCTGTTTCCAAAAACAAAAAACAAAACCCAAAACAGCTGCAACAAACAAGCAAAAAGTATAGAACTCTAATAGGCCTTCACAGACCATAAACGTCACATAGTCATACACGTTTTGACAGAAAGCATTAAAATCATTTGCAATTTCCCCTTTTGCCAATGACTATCAGATGCTTCTAATTCATATGTGACTGCTAAGGCACAAGAAGACAAATGGCGGGAACCCCGCGGTGATATTGGATATTGGATTCCTGGGGCGCTTCAGACTCCTGGTTGAACAAAGGCTAACTGGAGGGATCAGGTCTAACAGCAAAGGGCTGTGGATCAACAGAGCTGCTGTGACGAGTTGGGTCTCTAAAGAGACTCAAACACCCTCTATGGCCACACAGCCCACAAAACATTTCCAAGAGGCACTTTCCTTGGGTTTCAAGAAATTTAGCCCAGGCTGACCCTCTAACTGTAACCATGAGTAGAGAGTATGGTGGTGTAGTTAGAATTCAGCTTTGATGCAAGAGACACACGCAGGCTCCAACCTTGGTCCTGACCTTTAGCGGCTGTGTGCGTCTACACAATTACTCAACCACTCTGAATCTGTTTTCTGTAAAATGGGGAGGAGAATGGCCACTTCCCTGGACTCTCAGATGGCCACTTCTCTGAACCCTCAGATGACCACTTCCCTGAACCCTCAGATGGCCACTTCCCTGAACCCTCAAAGAGTACCTGAAGTTGTACTGTCTGCAAAGCACGTATTGAGAATGGCCTCCCATAGATCTGCTTAGCTGGCCTTCTCTCATGGAAAGACAGATAACTTCATCATTTAAGGATATGGTCCTTCCAATTCTTCTCTGCCAATGCTCTTTTTCTCCATGCAGAGACTACCATACACAGCCACACACACTCCACACAAGTATGCATACACACACAGACACACACACACACACACAGACACACACACACACACACACACACACACACACACACACACACACTGTGCTTCCGCTATGGGAGAAGAACCAGATTTTTTAATGTTTGTGTCCAGTTTGCTGCAGACCCATGATTTTGTAAAAGTCAGTACAAGTTAGTAGGTAAATGAGATAAAGACAAAGAAACAAAAACCAGGCAGTCCACTGCAGGAAACGGGGATGAGAGCCTTGATCCCAGCTACCTGGAGGGTGAGGCAGGAGGATCACAAGTTCAAGTCAAGTCTGGGCAAGTTCATAAGACTGTGTCAAGTTTACAGGGGAGAGATGGGACTTCAGATGTTATCTCCATGGTAGAGTCCTTGCCATGCATAGGACCTGGGTTCAGTCCTCATACCCAAAACTCAAAGGCATTCCAAGTCCAAGTCCATGGACTGTTTCACTCATATTTCTAAATGTTTACTTTTAAGTCCTGTGTCTCCCCTGCCCCCCTTCTCCGTGTGGCCCTGGCTGCCCTGGAACTCGCTCTGTAGACCAGGCTGGCCTCGAACTCACAGAGATTTGCCTGCCTCTGCTTCCCAGGTGCTGGGATTAAAGGCGTGCACCACCACTGCCCGGATCAATTCTTAAACACAGCCTGTTGCATATGCAATTTACAACCAGGTTCCTATCCTTGCACTGTTCACTGAGTAGCCCTGCTCTAGACCTTGTCTTTATCAATAAACCCTCATTCTCTCTCAGACCAGCCCTTCTTCTCTTTCCCAGCTTATTTCTAGAAGTTTTTCTGACCCATCTACTGTTATGAATTATCTACTGTGCACACAGGGAAACATGCTGGCATGCTGGGCAGATGCAGCAGCAGGGGACTGGCGACCCACTCCATTCAGGCATGGCAGCGGGGTGGCGGGTAGACATTCACAACCCAGACACTGCATCCGCGCAAAAAATGGTTTATTTTAATAGGATGAAGAGAAGATAGGAAAGAAGAGAGGGGGGAGAGAAAGAGAGAGGGGGGGTCGAGGGGTGCACACCTCGTGGGAGTGGAGGGAGAGGAGAGAGAGAGGGGCGGAGCTTTTCCTTATAGAGACTTTCACGTCAGGACATGGCCTGGCGCCAAGGGGCGGGATCAGAATATTAACCCCACTCCTCAGTCCCTCTGTCTACTGTCTCCTGATCCTGTCCCCAGGACACCGTCCCCTTCTCTAATGCTTACCTTCCTCTCTTGCCCAGTCGGTCCCTTGGGCACATCCTCCACTCTCTTGTCTCTGTCCTCCTCACAGCTGCTGAACCCAGCTCACTGACCAGGGACCTGAGTGTGGCTGCTTCTGCTTTAAATTCACGGCCAGGAACTCCAAGGGACTCAGTGGTGTAGGGACTTGTGTCCATGTGCTCTTCCGTTCTCTCAGGCATTGTCACTTTATACCTTTGTTCTTTCTCAGCATTCTAGCACTTTCTCCTTCATTTTTAGTCTCCGCTGGTGACCTGCTTTTTACTTTACCCTCAAGATTGCCGGTCAGACAAGAATGTCCCTGATCTTTCACCACAGCACATAATGAACTCCCTATGATGTCTTCAGCCCGTGAACTCACTCCTATCTCCCAAGCCAGAACCTTCTTACAGAGATCCACCCCTGCTCACTGAGATCCACCCCT